TGCACGGGGCGGACCCGGCGGGGCAGATGCGCCATGGACGAGCCAACCTTCAACGAGGCGGCTCTGGAGCAGGCGTTGGCCGAGCCGTGCGAGCTGGACGCGGCGCTGCTGACAGACATCGAAGGTGCGTCGGGAACGGCCTGGGCTCTAGGCGAGCGGGCGGCACTCGCCTTTGTCTCCCCGTCCGGCTCGGGGCGCAGTGGAGCGGGTGGCAGCTCGGTGCTGTGCACGAGCGGAGCTTCCCTGTGTCTCTATCGGTCGAACGCTCACAAAGAGAGCTCTCCAGGGCCGCGCCTCCCCTGGGTCCCTGGGCAGCTCCGGGCCAGAGCACGTGCGTCCCCAGGCGTCCCGGGGTCTGTACCATGAGGCCGGTGACTCCCCAACCTGGTGGAGCGGCGGCTGGAGCTTTAGACCCGGGCGTCGCCGAGGCCCCGCCCCGCCGTGACGTCAGCGGGGGGTTACTCGCGGTCGTTCCCTCCGGCCGAAGAGTTCAGCTCAGCGGCGGAGTTCTTGCGCATGCGTACACGGCTGTCTCTAACCTGTCCACTCTCACAGTCCGGTACTCAGAGTTCGCGACCCGCCTCGCTAGGCCCTCAGTGTTCACAGCAGACCCGGGATCCGTGTCTGTTTGGAAGCACAAAATTCTCCGAGGAAACTGCAAACGGATATTTCGTTGCAGTTTGGTGCAGGGCAGGGATATGGCCCCTTCGGGTGGAGCGTCAGAGAGGTCTCTTCGGGCTGACTAGAGCTGGGAACTGAAGGTCAGCCTCGTTTTCCACGATGAAAGCAAGGCCAGAAAGGCCCTGGGGCAGGCCTCAGTTTGAGGAGTTACCGAAAGGCAAAGAAGGTGAGATTGGGAAGACTGGCTTAGAGTGGACCCCGGCTTTGCGGGCTCCAGGTTGAAAGACACCGTTTATTTCTTTTGCGTTACTCCTGACGGAACTCTGGGCTCCCCGCTCATTAGACAAACGCTGTTTCACTGAGCCACACCCAGGCCTTTCACACCTTTTTAAGCACCTTTGCTCCTCTCAGAGTTTGGGTCCGGTGACGGCAGTGCACAGTTAAGATGATTGTTGTTTCCACTTTCGAGAGAGGGCAAAGGAAAGCCCCTGGGATGGTTCCTTCCATGGTTGCTGTGCAGGAATCACAGCAAAACTAGAGATAGGAACATTATCGGGCTGGGGCAGCAACTTTAGAGGACAGTTACTGGTCAGGCTGTGAGAGGAGACGAACACGGCCCCTTGAGGTAGCCCACTTCTTGCTAGGGCAGAGGCTCAGGTTTGCCGCTGTAGTTGAGGATTTCTCGCCTTCTGTTCAGACTTTCTGTTCTTTTTCCCAATAACACAACACGAGGGCCAGGGGATTTAGCTCAGTGGTTCCGACATCTGCCTCACAAGCACAATGGCCCAAGTTAGATCCCCGGTACCCCCCACCAAATTACACAACCCAACTGTTTTGCTGTAGAAAATTAGAAGATGACGAAAATAAGACAATAAAATCTTTCTTAAACTCAACACCCAGAGTTAAACTTTCTTAATGATGTGAGGGATGATTTCATGCTTGCGCATGTGTGATCCTTAACACTGCATAAAAGAAAAACAAAAAAGAAGAATTTACATACCCTAAGATTTACATACCTAAAATTTATCTGTTTTTAAAAAAGATTTATCTATTTTAAATATACCATTCAGGGCTGGGGATTTAGCTCAGTGGTTCCGCTGCCTGCCTTGCAAGTACAAGGACCCAAGTTCTATCCTTGGTACAAAAAAA